GCAGGTAAAAAACGTAAAAAACCACTGTCGGCGACTTGAAAAAAAGGCTGTCAGGTGCCGTGGCCTAGGTTTCTCACTGAAAATCCTCGTCCCCCGGCGGCACCTTTTTTTGAATTTTCTTCCTTTTCAACGCCGTTTTTCGGGGATTTCGGATTTTCTTTGAATTTTTTCTCAATAATATTTGAAAAATAGATAAATTTTAACACGTTTTAATGCAATAAAAATTTCTGGTCGGAGTCCAGCTTTAAAAAAAAATTAGATTAAAAATTCGGATTTTCTGGACGCTTCTTACGTTTTGAAAGTACAGAAGCAATGCTTCTTCCAGAGATTTTCGAAATTTCGGCTTCTTGCTTCCGACTTTTGTCTTCCGGCCATTTTCTCTATTTTTCTGCAAACAAAACGATACATTCATGGTTATAAAGTATTCTAGTATAGTATTATATGTTAATTAATAGTTGCCCAGGCAAGCTACCCCCAAACCCTTTCTGCAGTTCCCTGTGCGCTTGCAACGACGCTCCGCTGTTCGGCTGACGACAAGCGCGCCAACCGGGTGTGTTTGAATTAGAGTTAGTTTTTTGAACAGCTAGTTGTGTCGGTTTGGACGATTGAAGTCAGTTTTAGAGTTTTGTCTAAAGTATCTTTTGGTGATATTGTTGTTCTTTATTAATTATACGGAATAATAAATATTATTTTTGTATAAAACCGTGTTTTTCTTTGTATTTTGTGTCTGGACCTTAATACCCCAATTAATCGGAGGCAATTTAATAGATTCCGAACAAAAACTGCGGAGAAAACGGCGAAAAAAGAAGTAAAACATCCAAAATAAGAAGAAAGAAGTTCGGAAAATAAAAAAAACAAGAATTTCTTCGCGATTGTTCAATTGTGGACCTTTTATAGGGTCAGTTAGTAAGATACGCATTTTGCTAGAACCTCTCGTTCGCGGTAGAAAAGTAATTGAAAAAAAATAGAAATAAAAAGATAAAGAACCACAGTGGGGTTCGAACCCGAGAGGGTCAGATTCAAAACACAGGTGTTACCGGCTACACCACGGTTGACACAATGAGAGGATGGCGCGGAAGGCAGATAAGAAGGGGGAGGTGGTGGCGCCTTGCGGCGCCGAGAGGCGCCGAGCTGGGATGATTTTCAAATAATGATTTTTGCCAAAAAAATTCAAAACTTCAATTTTCACAAATTTCTCAAAAATCTAAAACTTACCAAAGCAAAAATCCAATAAAATCCAAAAGGGCCGAAAATTCGAATGAAAAATATCGAAAAACTTGCAAAAACCCAGGGAAAGATCGAAGTTCCAGTGGTCTTTTCTTCTTTTAAATTCAAATTTTTGTGGAAAAATCCTGCAGCATTCATATTCAAATATTTCAAATGAGTTTGAAGATTCGCATAGTCATCCAAACGTTTCAGGTAGCAAATGGAGAGGGTTAGAGAGATGAGGAGCTGAAAATAATTGGATTACAGAAGTTCAAATTCGATTATCTGAAAACCTAAAAAAGCTAGAAACTTTTGGTCAACTACAAAAATGTAGCTGATAAAATTTCCTACATTTTTGTAGTTAAACATTTCTTGATATCTTTTTTCGGAAATTTGAAAAAACCGAAAAACCGAAAAGTTTCAATTTTTGAGACACTATTTTTTCAAACTGAATTTTCTGAACATCTAAATAATCTAGAAACGTCTGTTCAACTACAAAAATGGAGATATTAAAATTTTCTACATCTTAAAATTGAAATTTCACATTTTTAATTGGCTAATTAACCAGATAATTACTCACAAGCACACCCGACCACAGTATGGTTCCATATGTCTCGTATAACCCATAGGAGATCGCTCCAATAATTCCAAACTTTATCAGACACTCAATTACAGCAAAAATGGTTGTTCCAGACATTTTTTTTCTGTAAATTTGAAGGTTTTAGCATGAAAATAGTCTAAAATTGAGCAATTTAGGCATAACTAAAATCAATGGACTACAAAAGGTATTCAAAATTGTTCAATTTGCCTGAAAATTTGAGAGTATACTAAACAGGACCCGAGCTTCATTTTTGTAGTCGACCACTTTTTTGTAAAATTAAGTCCTGGGGAGATAGAGCTCCAGTCCTGGTAAGATAGCGCGTGCAGCCTCCTAGGCGCTTTCACTTCCTCCTGGCATATCTTCTCAGGACTCGATTTTCAGAAAAAGTTGTCAACTAGCAAAACAAAGTAAATATCTTGTTTAGTATACTCTGAAAATTTCCGACAAATTGAAAAAGTTCAAAGTGGTTTTGTAGAGCAGAAAATACAAGAAACCAGGTTTCTTAGCCTATCTTCAAGCAAGATCATGTTAAAATGACACAAATGAGCATAAATTTATACAATTGAGAATTTATACATGCGGGAGAGAAGGTGGAGGGGATTAAAGGGACTTGAGGGGCCTCCAGGCAGGTGGTCCATTAGATTTGCTCCTTGTTAGGTAGTAAGACATGTTCAATACTAATATACATAGAAAAGAGAGGGAAATTGCATTTTCATAGAGTTGAAACTGAAAAATAGATCTTGTTTTGGCTTTTTCGAAGCTTCGCAAAGCTCTAAATAGAAATAAAAAGATAAAGGACCACAGTGGGGTTCGACCCCGAGAGGGTCAGATTCAAAACACAGGCGTTACCCGCTACACCACGGTTGACACAATGAGAGGATGGCGCGGAAGGCAGATAAGAAGGGGGAGGGTGGTGGCGGCTGGCGGCGCTCGGCGGCACCCCGCGGCACCTAGATTTTCACAGCTCAACATTTTTCAAACGCTCGTATCTCAAAAACCATCAATTCTATCAAAAAGTGATCAATTACGAAAATGTAGCTGATAAAATTTCCTACATTTTTGTAGTTGACAACTTTTTGATATCTTTTTTCTAAAAATCAGAAAAATAAAAAGAAAATCCAAAAAAACAAATTTATTCTCTGAGTAAGGTTCAAATTTCAAGTTCCCGTCTCATTTCTTCGCTTGCTCCTCCTTATCCTTTGCTCCAATGAAATGATTTTCAGCCGAGTTGAATGCCTGGACCATCGGGACAGCCTTCAATTGATTCTTCAGCGGGTCCATTGATAATTCACTGGGACGTCGAGCAACTGGACATGGCTCATCAATTGATTCTGTTGAGAACTGTTTCTTGTTTGCCAGCGCGGCAAGTTCTTCTGGAGTTTTCTGAAAAGTTGAAAATTCGCTGAAAAATGAGCCTAAATAAGATAAGAAGGCCAAATTTTGGCTTTTTTAGTATAACGTTTTTTAAAACAGCTCCAAAACGCACTAAACATTGTTCAAATTGTCTGAAAATTTCAGAGTATACTAAACAAGACAAGGGCTTCATTTTTGTAGTTGACAACTTTTTTGAAAAATCGAGTCCTGAGGAGATATGCCACGTGGAAATGAAGGCGCCTAGGAGGGTGGGCGCGGAGGCACACAAGGG